ATTTTCGCTAGCCTGAAGGTCGGGTGTTCGATCCCTGCATTTGCCGAGAAAGTTCATCCAGATTTTCCGGCGTGGTACCCACTTGTCAGTGATGAAGGACGGAGGGCCTGACAAGGACAGCTGTCTAGTCGTTCGGATGGGACGAAAAACCGAGGTCCCGTGTACATAATTGGCGTGCACGTAAAAGATCTCTTGACAGTTGGAATTCGATATAAGAGTATGCCGTAGCGTCGCTGTTCGGGCAAAATTTGCCTCATAGCACACTGTATGCATGGCGTATGCCCGTCCTCATTAGCCCAGTCGGAGCAGAACAGTAGGACGTTAAACCCATTTCATTTCATTGTATTTGGTGTTGACTGGTAAAGTCTCTTGCTATTTTCAGATTGGTTTCTGCTTGTCAGTGGTGGTGAACTGACTGCGTCTAGTCATTCGGACGAGAAGAAAAACCAAGGCCCTGTGTACACGTTGATATTTTAGGCCAGAAATTTGATATCGGGATAAATCTAAATTCTTTGCAACTATAGCAAAAAACCCGGAAACTCGGTGAGCTCATACACCACACTACCTGGACGCGCAAATACTTTGTAATTCGATTACCCAGGTAAAAACAGGTTTTACTCAGGTAAACAATTATAAAATGTATTGATAGTTAATACCGAGCCTGAAACCTACCCCCAGCCCCTAGCCCCCAGCCCCCAGAAGGTTCTTCTTGGCCATAGCCGACATCAATAGAAAGCGTGGACCCTTAAAATCAATTTTGCATTATTCAGGTGGTGTACCTCGGCTTCTCTCTATGGTTTTGCTTTTGGTATTGGTCAGTTATCTGGAAACTTTTACCTGAATTTGTTTTTGATGTTTATATTGGAGTTCCCCATTTTCATACCTATAATATATGCCTTAAATAAGTAAGTTGGGGTTATTACACAGTATCACAGGTGAGTTTAGGTTATTTACCCGGTAACATAGGTAAGTTCTGATAATTACCCAGTACCATAGATGAGTACCATAATTACCCAGTACCATTGGTTTCCTAAGCTATTTGTCGCGTTCCCCTGGTTGCCAATGATTGTGGAATCACAGTTACCCGGGTTTATAGTTTTGGAATTGCTTGTTCATTTTACCATATTATACGTTTAAGTGAAGGGATGAAACGAGCTAGGCCTACTGTCCAAAATCACAAGTTTCAAAAACAGAACCTCGTAAAATTTTTAAAGTAAAAAGACCCGAAAAAATCCCCAAATGTATGAGGCCCTGTTGAATTGTAGACCCTAAGCTGTCGCTTGTTTTTACGTATGTGTAAATCAGACACTGCATCGGTGATATTATTGTAAAATATATTTTATATTTTGTGTAGATTCGGTCGGAGAACGGTGGCAACTGTCATGTACGGTGCAGGTACTATCTCCTGTATAGCAGTCATTATCATTCAAAATACAGGTAATTAATTAATATATAGGTAAAATATATAGATAATTAGTTAATATATAGGCAATATACAGGTAATATACAAGTAATTAAAATACAGGTAAATACAGGTAATTGATTAATATACAGGTAAAATACACGTAATTAATATAGAGGTAAATACAGGTAATTAATTAATATATAGGTAAAATATATAGATAATTAGTTAATATACAGGTAATTAATTAATATACCGGTAAAATACAAGTAATTAATATGCAGGTAAATACATGTAATTGATTAATATACAGGTAAAATACATGTAATTAATTGATATACATGTGAAATACAGGTGATTAATTAATATACAGGTAATATATAGGTAATTTTTACTTTAATTTGTTTTGTTTTTTAATTACAGTGTATATTGTGGATTTAATTTCAGGTTTTGGGGTGGGTTTTTTCTAATTGTAGTGTTTTAATTTTTAATTTTTATTTTAGCATCTTTTTACTTTAATTTGGTTTAGTTTTTTAATAACAGTGTATATTATAGCTTTAATTTCGTTGTTCTGTGTGGTTTTTTCTAATTGTAGTGCCTTTCGGATATAAAGGTGTAATGATCACAACCCTATCTCTAGCAGCTAGATTATTTAGCGCCATGGCTTGGGCGGGTATCATCATCATCACCACCGAGAGTTATCCTACTGTTATTCGGTGAGTTTCAATCTCTCTCTCTCTCTCTCTCTCTCTCTCTCTATCTCTTTTAGATCGTTGTAATAAAAATCAACAACTCATTTGAATCAGTCCCCAGGGCTTGAAATTTTGAGCCTCCGAATGACCATTCTGAGCTATTTTGAGATATAAGACATAACAATCTGATTCAAATAAAGATCTATATTTCGTTTCGTTTGTTTATACCTTCCATGGCCTACACTACATGAAGATCTGACCGGTTGTCGGGGTCATACCAGAGGCTTTTGGCCCTATGACGTCAGACATTTGATTAACCAATCGGCGTTGATGTTTCTAGTGGGTTCCCCACAGTCCCCCCCCCCTCCAATCCGCACCAGGTCCTACTGCGTGTCTCCATTGTTATTATGATTCTGAGATAATTTGGTCCAACTGCTTCATTTCCATATATATTTACTATGTCGACATTTTGTAGTTGATCGTATGTTTTGTAAATGACTATGTTCTACTGGTGTATGATATATAGACTATGTTCTACTGGTGTATGATATATAGACTATGTTCTACTGGTGTATGATATATAAACTATTGGTGTATGATATATAGACTACATTCTACTGGTGTATGATATATAGACTATGTTCTACTGGTATATGACATATAGACTATGTTTTATTGGTGTATGATATATAGACTATGTTCTACTGGTGTATGATATATAGACTATATTCTATTGGTGTATGATATATAGACTATGTTCTACTGGTGTATGATATATAGACTATGTTCTATTGGTGTATGATATATAGACTATTGGTGTATGATATATAGACTATATTCTATTGGTGTATGATATATAGACTATATTCTATTGGTGTATGATATATAGACTATATGCTACTGGTATGATATATAGACTATGTTTTATTGGTGTATGATATATAGACTATGTTCTACTGGTGTATGATATATAGACTATATGCTACTGGTATATGATATATAGACTATTTTCTACTGGTATGATATATAGACTATGTTTTATTGGTGTATGATATATAGACTATGTTCTACTGGTGTATGATATATAGACTATATGCTACTGGTGTATGATATATAGACTATATGCTACTGGTGTATGATATATAGACTATATGCTACTGGTGTATGATATATAGACTATATGCTACTGGTATATGATATATAGACTATTTTCTACAGGTGTATGATATATAGACTATGTTCTATTGGTGTATGACATATAGACTATATTCTACTGGTGTATGATATATAAACTATGTTCTACTGGTATGATATATAGACTATATTCTACTGGTGTATGATATATAGACTATATTCTATCGGTGTATGATATATAGACTATATGCTACTGGTGTATGATATATAGACTATATTCTACTGGTGTATGATATATAGACTATGTTCTACTGGTGTATGATATATAGACTATATGCTACTGGTGTATGATATATAGACTATATGCTACTGGTGTATGATATATAGACTATATGCTACTGGTGTATGATATATAGACTATATGCTACTGGTATATGATATATAGACTATTTTCTACAGGTGTATGATATATAGACTATGTTCTATTGGTGTATGACATATAGACTATATTCTACTGGTGTATGATATATAAACTATGTTCTACTGGTATGATATAAAGACTATATTCTACTGGTGTATGATATATAGACTATATTCTATCGGTGTATGATATATAGACTATATGCTACTGGTGTATGATATATAGACTATATTCTACTGGTGTATGATATATAGACTATGTTCTACTGGTGTATGATATATAGACTATGTTCTATTGGTGTATGATATATAGACTATATGCTACTGGTGTATGATATATAGACTATGTTTTATTGGTGTATGATATATAGACTATGTTCTACTGGTGTATGCTATATAGACTATGTTCTACTGGTGTATGATATATAGACTATGTTCTACTGGTATGATATATAGACTATGTTCTATTGGTAGACTAAATGCTACTGGTGTATGATATATAGACTATGTTCTACTGGTGTATGATATATAGACTATATTCTATTGGTGTATGATATATAGACTATATGCTACTGGTGTATGATATATAGACTATGTTTTTTTGGTGTATGATATATAGACTATTTTTATTTCAGAAACTTGGGTTATGGTGCCGCTAACACGGCAGCTCGTATTGGAGGAATTGTCGCGCCTTTTATCTTCACCCCGGTAAATTTTTCATATTCTTTCCCTTCGATCATCAGGAGGCGGGGTGTCTCCGCCTTATAAATGTCATATAAATTATTATTTAATTTAGACATTTATTCACTTGAAAAGTCCAGAATCAACTCTCTAGGCTTTCGCGTTGCTTAGATATTGAATGTATTAGAAGCTCCACGCCAGTTAATAATTGAACAGAATCAACTCTCTAGGCTATCGGGTGGCTTAGATATTGAATGTATTAGAAGCTCCACCCCATTTAATAATTGAACAATTAAATGGATATTTGAAACCTTGATTATTGTCGAATCAATGGTACTCATAACCTCGCGCAGATTGAAGACACTTGACTGAAATTTTCAATAAATTATTTATCTACATCTAACACAATGCCTCTTTAATTAGTTTGTATTGTATATCTCCATAGTGATAATGAAACAGTACCATATATTATATATTATAGAACACAGTTTTTATGGGATACAGTCACTAGTTTTATTCTAAACAAGCACGACGTTTCGACAAGTATCCTCTTATATTTTCAGAGTGACAATGGTACCATATATTATAGTTTGTATTGTATATTTTCAGAGTGGCAATGAAATGGTACCATATATTATAGTTTGTAATGTATATTTTCAGAGTGGAAATGAAATAATGCCATATATTATAGTTTGTATTTAATATTTTCAGAGTGACAATGGTACCATATATTATAGTTTGTATTGTATATTTTCAGAGTGGCAATGAAATGGTACCATATATTATAGTTTGTAATGTATATTTTCAGAGTGGAAATCAAATAATGCCATATATTATAGTTTGTATTGAATATTTTCAGAGTGACAATGGTACCATATATTATAGTTTGTATTGTGTATTTTCAGAGTGGCAATGAAATGGTACCATATATTATAGTTTGTAATGTATATTTTCAGAGTGGAAATGAAATAATGCCATATATTATAGTTTGTATTGAATATTTTCAGAGTGACAATGGTACCATATATTATAGTTTGTATTGTATATTTTCAGAGTGATAATGAAATGGTACCATATATTATAGTTTGTAATGTATATTTTCAGAGCGGCAATGAAATGGTACCATATATTATAGTGATCGTCTTACTTGGTTTAAGCGGGATTCTAACCAGGTTATTTCTACCGGAAACTCTAGGATTAGCCATGGAGGATGTAGTACAGGTCGACCAGGAAGGGGACCAGGAAGGGGTACAAGAAACAAAAGACACGCCCACGAACGGGCATCCATTTAAAGAAACGCCAGACCTTACAAATAGACAATCAAACAAAGGCGAGGAAAATAAGAATGGCAGACGCGCGCCCATAATATGTCTTTTCACTGAAAACACTAGACTTTAATTCTGTGAAACAAACTAGATGCTATATCGCAGCCCTCATTATACGGAAATTGGAAGGGGGGTATCATTGACCCTCAGGGTATGAATTCTAATTAAAGACGCACACCACGCCCTGACCCTTGCTAATATTGATCAATCTGTAATCATGAATATGTAAACCGACTGTGGTGGCCAATTTCCTCCCTATTTTTGAGGGATACGAGATATATGTGACTACTCTTACAAACGATAATGGGTAGTCTCGATCAATGCAGCCTATATTCAAAACTATAGTTAAATGAGTTTAATACTAATGTATTAATAAGAGGCCAGTATTCACGGTAAAATTCTATATTCAGCCCATCATTTCCTGGGGTTTTATTATTTTTAAATAGTTTTAATGCTTCCAAAAATTCACGGTTGTCAATTTTATGTTCCAGCATCTGACTTTGATTTTCATTTAATTTTTGGAAGTACTGTTTCCTGAGGAATATTGTATCCTCGAGGCCTGATTTGTTATGGGTAGTCTCTGAATAAAGATTCGAGTAATAGTTATAAATTTCCCTTGATATTTCCTTTGGGCAAATAATTTCACTATTATCTTTTTCAATTCTGTTTAATGATGTTGATATTTTATTTTGTTTCTCTAAACTTAGCAATAATTTTGTATTCTTTTCCCCTTTTCGTGCCACTCCACATTAGATCTTAAGATAGCCCCACGGATTTCTATATCATAAATTTGATCAAGCTTGTATTTAACGAAGTAATATTTTTCGTATGTTTCGACATCATGAGTGTTTAAGGATGAAATTTTATTTTCTAGACCCTGCATTTCTTGTATTAGTTTTTCTTTTAACTTACTTTTAATTTTTTGTTTCTTTTTACAGTATTTAATGGTTTCATTTTTAATTTTAAATTTAACGTAATCCCAAAGTCCCCCCCCCCCCCTATCTTCCTTATCATGATATTCATCCTTCCATATACTGATGGCGTTCTTTAATAATTTGTAATAATTTTTATCTAATATCAGATTGTTATTAAATATCCATAGTCCAGGCCCTCTTTTTGAATCAATAGTACATATTTTAATAGCAATTGCTTGATGATCACTGAATGTGTTTGGTATAATGGTGCACTCTTTTACAAAATCTTGAGTAGTGGCCGAGATTAACCAAAAATCTATCCTGCTTTGTATTAAAGGCTTAAGCTGTTTCCACGTATATCTACGTAACTTTGGATTTCTAACTCTAAATATGTCGATAAGATTAAAATATTTTATTATGTTTATAATAGCTACCTTGCTGTTGTTTTTTATTTTATAATTTCCACCCGTTCTGTCCAAGTCTTTGTTCATCACATTGTTAAAATCCCCGCCTATGATAACTGACAAGTCGTCGTAAACTTCAAAAGATTTGAGCATCTGATCTTGCAGTTTAAGAAAATGGGCCTTTTGCTGAATATCTATCGTGGGGCTGTACGTATTAACGAATAAAAAATTAGTCTGTCAGCAGTTTAAAATCAAAATAATAAAGTATCCATTTTCATCAGCTGTATATGACTTAATATCTAGATTACTCGATGTATTAAATAAAATGGCAGTTCCAGCTGAATTACTCTTTCCGTGTGCAAATATTATGTGATCTCCCCATTCTAGTTGCCAGGTGATTTCATCTGAGTTTGTGCTATGTGTTTCTTGCAGAAATATAACTTTTGCTTTTTGTTCCTTTAACCATACAAATATTTTATTACGTTTGATTTTATTACGCATACCTCTAGTATTTAAAGATATAATTTTTAAGTCTTCCATTGATATATGTAGATACAGTATATTATAGTTGCATTTGTATTAATTTTGTTCATGTTTAAGCATAATTCGTATAATGAGCATAATCTAAATAAAGTAAAGCTTACGATTGTTCTAACGATATAAAAAACATTTTTAAAAACGGTGACATCACTGTATATATATAAATATTGGTTTAAACTAACAAAGTCATTTGGTACTATGCGTTTAAATGTGGAATTAGTGTTCATAGATAGCTGTGTAATACTGAATGGAAACAGCGTGTTGAGCTCTGAGTCTCACAATTCCCTTATGTATAATTAAAAGTAGACAAAGTAGTTCATTTTTGGCGATATTGATTCGGTTTTTACTTAGGCAGTGATTGCTTAGTGATTGCTTAATTGACAGTCGTCAAAAGTTAAATAAGCCTGCCTATAACAACACGATTGGTTGTCAGTTGATTGACCCACATAATGTCTGTTCACGTGACGTAATCAATGGCCAATTTTAGTCGAATACCTTCTCACATTCATTTGGGTTTTTGACTCGTATAGTGTCTTATTGATTTTTCAAATACGGTTACATTCTAAAATTTGCCATTTATAAAACTTTGAAGAGTTTCTCTTTTGAGCCGAAAGAGAGAAGGTCTATGTCCTGTATTATGACTGATTTAACTAGCCAAATAATTGCTGTATGAAACAGACTGTAAAGGATATGCTCGCATAGGCTAACTAAAATAATTTGATAGCTTTTTTGGGGGGGTTTAGACACCTTAAAAAGACATTCCTTATAATACAATATTAGTAAATTCATAGACAAATTCATGTGATAATCAATATCACTTAAAAGGGTTCAACATCTAAAGTGACATACCATGTTAAACATTAATTCGTGATTTAAAGTGACTGACGTGATGTTGGACTATTTCTTCCTTTTAAGTAACATTCCTTATAACAAATATTAATTTATACCAATTACATAAAATAAAGTAGTTCTTCGTTGTTAAGTGATATTGGCTGTAACTTAACTTTCATTTATGCAAATAACTCACAGAAGTTCGCCATCATAAACTATATTATAACTTATATGTACAACAATTACGTGATATATAAGAAATAATTTGATAGCTTTTTGGGGGGTTTTAGACACCCTAAAAAGACATTCCTTATAATACAATATTAGTAAATTCATAGACAAATTCATGTGATAATCAATATCACTTAAAAGGGTTCAACATCTAAAGTGACATACCATGTTAAACATTAATTCGTGATTTAAAGTGACTGACGTGATGTTGGACTATTTCTTCCTTTTAAGTAACATTCCTTATAACAAATATTAATTTATACCAATTACATAAAATAAAGTAGTTCTTCGTTGTTAAGTGATATTGGCTGTAACTTAACTTTCATTTATGCAAATAACTCACAGAAGTTCACCATCATAAACTATATTATATCTTATATGTACAACAATTACGTGATATATAAGAAAATTAATTCAGGGCAGATTGGCTTTTCGATATACATGTACTGCGATTCAGCGTCGCTTAAATGAAGTGAACGGGGTTTAACACACTACTGTTCTTACAGCGGACCACAAGCCATATTTTTAGGAGAACTAATTATGCATATGGAACAGTTGTATATAGGATTTTTACTGAGTTTTAATGTTAAACACAAATTCATTTGTGGCTACAGTTTATATATTTCGAATGGGAACATTTTAACGTAAGCTTACTCTTAATACTGATATTGTTTAGATAATAAAATTATACAGAGCAATAGTGTGCAAAACTTTACAAAGTACTGAATTTAATTTCTAGGGTATTTCAATATGTCGAGTCATCTAATCTATGGGATTCTTCTTTTGCCGATAGCACAAATGTTTCTAGGTCGTCAAATAAGTCTATTCTCACCCTTTTTCTACCTGCTGCCTTTGCATATACACTGCCATTGAAATACCAACATTTGTCCACCATTGGTTTAGCGTAAGCCCTGTTGATTAGACTAAGGTTCTTTTTTGTGATATCATCAGCTAATTTAAAATTGTGTTCTTTAAATAATTTTCGGTTTTTCATTATTTTAGACTTGCACTCTGTATTTTTCATCTTTACAATAACCGGTTTTGGTCTATCAACATATTTTGATGGTAGTTCATGAATGGCTATTATGTCACTCTTAATTACATCTATACTAGATATCTTCCGTACGGTGTCAATGAAATTATCTTCCAAGTTTAGAGATACGTTTGGTGTGAGACCCAGTACTCTAATATTCATCTTACGAGAGTATTGTAATTTATATAATTAGTAAATAATTATTATTATCTAATGATTGGTGTTTTGTGATATATATATAGTGTAACCAATATATACATTGTACTTTTATAATCAATATGATACTGTTTATTAGTCAAGTTTATGTTCTTATGATTTGAATTTCTTCATGCAATATTTGTGAATCGCCAGTAGGAATAAATGTCTCTTATAGATACGTCTAGATGGCTGGAATTTGCACGGTAGGCAAGCCTCTGGGACTGCGGTCAGCGATGAACTCGTTTGATATCGACAAACTACGTTCCGATGGTACAGAAGCTCCTTTAAAGCTTCTTTCTCTTTCAGCGAGTAAGGCAATCTAGGATTGCCCGAAAAAGACAAGTTGCGGATTGAAGAAAAGTACGGCGAATGCTATTTGCCCGAAAAAGGAAAGACACTGGCAGATACAAGAACAAGTACGGTGAATGCTATTCACCCGAAAAAGGAAAGACGTTGGCAGTTTCAAGAACTAGTACGGCGAATGCTATTCGCCCGAAAAAGTAAAGACCCTGACAGAGTACGGTGAACGCTGTTCACCCGAAAAAGGACAGTTAATAGAAATAAACGTATTTAAGCTGTAAATACTGATATATATATATATATTTTGAAAGTTTTTGTTACGAGTCTGTCTTATTCCTACGGTGAAGCTTATTATAATTTTAGCAAAACACCGTTACTGACCACTTTTAGCTGGTCCTTACACACCCTTCCGAAGTTCCGTTTACCGGTGGCTCGTGATCAGCCAGGAATTGATCACTGGTGGCAGAGATACCAAGCTCCCCATACCCCAAACATGGTTTTCCCTTCAAGGAAAACGTTACACAGTTGAGAAATTCGCAAAAATATCATTTTCAACTTCAAATTCAAACGTTTGAAGATAACTATTCCATGGGGGGAAATAGAAAAAACAAGGGAGGTAATTGTGTTATTATTTCCGGGGTGAATGGTTTTTACCTATCATCGTATAACAGTGAGTTGACAACCTATTGAGCAAAAGACATAGAAATAATTATGTTTTGACTTTATTAGAAAATATGAAATTCACGCTTTAAGGAGTAGGGTCGCCTGTGCAACCTCGTGGGTTTTCTCTGGGTCCTCCGGTTTCCTCCCACTGCTAAAGACCCCTACGCGCAAGTGAATTATGTAAATCAAATTAAACCATATGTTAGTCCCGAAGTGACCTAGTTTGTGTCGAGTGGACGTTAAACCCCATTTCTCTCTCTCTCGCTTTAAATCTCCGCCATCCGGCGTTCTACAGTGTTGATTATAGGCTCGTCATGTAAATAAATATCTAAATAATAGTTTATATAACATTTGATGCCAATATAAAGACCTGCAATAGGCAGATTTAGCTCTTACTTGAATGCTACGTCCAGTTTGTGTATCTCAAGATTTCCAAGGTGAAACACACATGATTTTGATTTAAGACCTTGTAGTGAGGCCCCGATAACTGTAATAATCGGTCAAATCGGAATACAAGTACTAAAAATACAGATCTATATTTCGTTTCGTTTTTTTTTTATTATACTTTTGGTCATAGAAATATATAGACTAGAATGGCCGTCACGTGACTTGCGGCATGTGAATACGGCCGCCATCTTTGTACATTGATTCTGTTGACGTCGCGCGCGATGAACTCAATGAATCCAGCTTCGTTTCACGCTACGCTTGAAAGAAAGAAGGGTCGTAAAACACGCCATTGCCATACATACTAACAGGTTTTGTTCTACCAGTTTGTAAAACTTAATATGTATCTTCATTCTTCAATTTACTGGAATGACTCGAAGCGAAGCCGTACAAAATAGGCGTTTATAGCCATGGTGAAACATACATAGGCCTACATGAGATGCCACTTTCCTACACCATACGTCATTGGACTACACTACATAGGCCTACAGATCTGACCGGTTGTACTGATAGGTCGCGTCAGAAATCATACGAGCGGCTTTTGACCCTATGACGTAAGACATTTGATCAACCAATCAGCATTGGTGTTTCTAGTGGATTACACACAGTTCCGTGCACCACACGCCAAAAGCCCACTGTAACAGGCCGTTCCATGGGCTAAACCCTAATTACATTATCCAGAACACGTGAATGACAACAACTCTTCCAGATCCTAGTGTAGTAAAGACAAGTAAAATGAAATTTTGAACTATAAAAAACCGAAACGAAATTCCAGATCCTAGTGTAGTAAAGACAAGTAAAACAAATTTTGAACTATAAAAAAACGAAACGAAATTCCAGATCCTAGTGTAGTAAAGACAAGTAAAACAAATTTTGAACTATAAAAAAGGAAACGAAATTCCAGATCCTAGTGTAGTAAAGACAAGTAAAACAAATTTTGAACTATAAAAAACGAAACGAAATTCCAGATCCTAGTGTAGTAAAGACAAGTAAAGCGAAATTTTGAACTATAAAAAACGAAACGAAATAGGATCTGTGTTGTAATCAGATTGATTATATATGTGAACTTACCCACAATAAAACAGGACAATTTTATCGCAAAATAATGTCATTTCGTTGCCGGAAAGTCGACCATTTTGAAAACGGTCGCCATCTTGTATTTTCGAATGGGTGATGGACTTTTTCAAAAGAGTAGCCCCTAATTAAGGAGTATTTGTGCCAATTTAGATACTTGTATCCACCTTTCAAAAACGTCCATTAAATTAC